ATGTATGATGTTCTTGATGTCATCCCACAACTCTTCTGGTCTTCAGTCTTTAGTGTTTAATGTATCAAATCTGTTCTTCAGTTGATCTCTAAATTTAGGTTAAGTGTGAGTTAATTAAATGTTTGACCAAATATAGCAGGCTTATTTTTAAGCTGACAATTTTCTATGGCCCATGAATGATGTTATAAATATCCAAATGGCCCTTGGCAGAAAAAAGGTTCCCCACCCCTGCCTTAGTTCTTAGCAGCTAACTCTCAAATCTGGAGCTCTGAAGCCCCTGACCCAGAGTCCCACTCTCAGCCTGTCTCTGAGCTCGAAAGTCTAAACTGGCGGTGATCATCCCAGGACTGTGCCAGAGTCCACAGGAGCCTCAGAAAAGGAGGGGGTTCTACAGGTGACACTGACCTTCACTCACTACCTCCCGCTGTGCCCGTTCCTTCACTTGAGATCCCACTGTCCTGAATGGTTGAGATGTTAGGGGTCTCTCTAGCTAACTGAGACGGACTCAAGTAATGACCCATGTGTCTGTGTGGAGCAGGAACAGTGAGTGAGCATTTTTGTTTTTTTGTTTTTAAATCTGGACATTTTTGGAATACCTAACATGGGGCTACAACATGCCCAGTGAAGGAAGCTTCCTGTGGAGCCTCTGCAATTTATAAGACCATAGGTGGAATCCTGAACCCCATCCAGAATCTTCTGAGGTGGGACATTTCCACTTGAAAGGACAAGCAGACCAGCCTGGAGCGTCTAGATGAACAGAAGATATTTCTTGAAAGAAAGACCTACAGGAAAAACACAAAACAATAAAGGAAGTCCAGCTGATTACAAGAACAAGCAAGTTGCTCTCCCAGGAGACATCAAGGCACGTGGTCGGGTTCCCTCAGGGCAAACCCCCTTCCAAGACTAAGACTCAATGGGAGTACACAAGCAGACATGAGCTCTGATTGGTGACCACGTTTGTCACGGATAAGGGGAAGTGAGGGGAAAACAGCAATGAAGCTGCGAGCTAAGCCCTAGACTACTGTGAACCTGTGTGGAGACCTGGTTGGCCAGCAGTGTGGCAAGACCTATGGACTCTTGGGCCCAGAGTCAGTGACATAGCCACAGAGGACTAGAGCATAGAGTGAAGCGTCCAGCTATTAAGAAGAGAGGGCATATGCACAAGAACACCTACACTTGCAGATAATACCCACTTGATCTGACTTTAATGACTGGATCATCAGAGCTCAACTAGAAGAAAGAAGAGGAAAAAAAGAGTAATGTGATACAATTTGATGAACTTGATCTACACCTATGGTTGCAGTAGCTCAAAAGGAGAACAAATCTTTACAGCAAGGATCATTCTCATCCCCTCCATACACAAAGTAGACAGGGATGGGCAACTTGGACATTGGCTACCCAAAATGGGGCGGGGTGAGGGGTGGGGAGCGCTACAAAGGCAAGAAGCAACTGGCTTACAAGCTTTCAAGAGGGAGCCTAGATCCAGAGGGCGTGGAGGAAGGTAGAATCTCCACTGAGTAGTATCCAACCTGTCTGGGCGGGGCTGATGAAAGGAGATAGGGATAGGTCTCTTGTGGTACAATAGTGAATAATTGTTATCAGGACTGACTGTGAGGGTTGGAAATGTAAAGGTAGACGTTTTGTAGCAAAAGGAGGGGAGTGTGACTTTGCGGTCCAGGAGCGGAGGCCTCTGGGACCATCAAGGGAGAATAGCGGAGTGTGGGACCCTACCCAGAGAAACAGTGACTCCAGAGATGGAGGCAGAGATGATGAGATGGAGTGGTTGGGAACTGTGTGCTGACGAGCGGGGGGCAGGCTTGCAGGGTATATACTGTTTGGTTGGTTGATGATGCATAGAGGGGATTGTAACCATGGCAATGAAGCGATATATGATAGGATGAATGTAAAGCTAATGTTCTCCCATGTAAACTATCACACAATTCACAAACATTAAAAAAAAAAAAAAATCAGGATCTTTTCAGGACACATGAAGATAGATGCTGGTGCTTTTCACATGATTATCCTACTTAGCATGAAGTGGAAGCAGTTGCCAGCAGCTGTGACGCATGCTGGTGAGCTGCTGTCAGATGGATACACCCACCCACCAATGAGCTGCTTCTGCCCTAGAGCCCAGTATGATAGGAACTGCCTGATAGGTCCGGGGCTGGTACTAATAACAATGGCCTACATGTATTCTCTGTGTTTCAGAGTCTTGCATTCTTACCATGAGAGCTCTTTCTGTTAAAAACTTTATTCTCATCTATAGTACTGAATGCTATAGCTTTGTAATTTCTTTTTTTAAGATGTTGTATCTCAATTTGGAATGGAGACTATTATCTTATACACAGCATTGATGCTGAAGAAACGAATCGTCGTCTATCACCCAAGAATAGAAGCTGTACAGGAGTTTACCAGGTAAGGCCGCTAACCATCAAAAAGAGTAAACTCTTCGCAGCCAGTTTGAGCCCTAAGTGCTCCCTACGCCCTGTGCTCTTGCACATTTGATGTAGACAGAGTATGTTGGGATGGAAGTGAAATACCAATTTCATCTGATGTTCTAGTTTATAGCTCATGATCGATGATCACTGAGTTCTGAATGATCCAGATTTACATTTGCAAGTATGAACGCTACAAAGCGGATTGTCAGCAGACTTCCCTACGGAGGGTCAGAGAGAAAACACCTCAGACTTACAGGCCGTGTGGTCTCTGTTATGAAGACTCACCTCGTCATGATGGTGCCAACGCAGCCCTTGTTGCTGTTTGGTGTTGTGGAGTTGGTTCTGACTCATAGCAACCCTACATATGTATGACAGACGTAACCCTGCTGCGTCCTGCCCCACCCTCACAGTCCTTGCTATGTTTTGAGCTCATTGTTGCAGCCCATCTCTGAAGATCTTTGTGTTTACTGACCCTCAACTGTACCAAACATGATGTCCACCAGGGACAGGTCCCTTCTTACATGCTCTATGGAGCATTCGGGCTGTACTTCTTCCAAGACAGATTTGTTTGTTCTTCCGACAGCCCGTGGTACTCTCAGTATTCTCTGCCAGCACTGTAATTCAAAGGCGTCAATGCTTCTTTGGTCTTCCTCATTCACTGGACAGCTCTCACACACTTCTGAAGCAGAGTGATGGCTTTGCTTTTTTGACACTGTACAGAGCTCTTTTGCTTCAGATTTGTGCAATGCAAGCCAAGGGACTATGTAAACAAATGAGCATGGCTGTGTTCCAGTAAAACTTTATTTACAAAGACAGACAGCTGGCTTGTGAGCCATGGTGTGCCAACTCTTGTTTTAGAGGAAGTCGCTCTTTCTGTTTGATTTTACCAAAGACAGTTAGTTTATGATAAATAAAGCTTCTTTATCCAACTAGTCCTCAGTGCCTATTTTAAAATTAGAACTCGCATGTGTGCTGGGCATTGTGTAAGAGACCTTAAACTATGAAATATACTCAAGACAAGAGCCCTGCAAGGACACCCTGTCTCTCCATTTTATGGATGAGAAAACTGAGGCTGTGAAAGGCTAAGTGATACGATAATGAAAAGAACCAAGGCTTTGTGGGCAGAGACCTGGGTTAGAATCCTGGGAGAGCAACTACTTGCTCTGTGACCACATTAAAGATACCTCCCCTTTCAGAACCTCAGTTTCCCTGTGAAGTGAAGACACTGCCTGCCTTCTTTTTGCTTAACTAGTGATTATCTTGATTGCCACCATGCTTAAATGAGAGATCCAGAGCTTTCACTAGGCGCTGACTCTAAATCCCTGTCTTTTTCCACCCCACCACCTTTTTCCATTCTAAACCAAGGCCTCCATAGCTTGTGAGCAGGGCACTAGGGATTAATGAAGCCCTTGACTGACTAATCGGTACAGCTTTCCACAGTCACCATTTTGCCCACAGTTGTCTTTAAGGAAACCTATTTGGTATCAGTAGGAGCTCTGGTAGTGTAGCAGTTATGAGTTGGGCAGCTAACCTCAAGGTCAGCAGTTTGAAACTACCAGCTGTCCTGCGGGAGAAAGATGAGGTTTTCTGCTCCTGTAAACATTTACAGCCTCAGAAACCCTGTATAGGATCCCTATGAGTTCGGAACCGACTCCACGGGTTACCACCATCAACATTTGATATCAAAACAGACACAAGGTGGTTTACAAGCTTGATTGGAATTTTAAACGTGGGAAAATGGGAACCTTTCCATTTCTGGCAGAAAGCTCTTTGGGTTTCCCTGCCAGGATCCCTCTGTTGCAGCCTGCAGAGTGGGATGGATGGGAAAAAGCAGCATCCCTCCTGGCCACCGTGGAGATCTCCGCAAACCTCACCGTGAGCCTGTGGTCCAGTCCTGCTGGAGTAGCTTCTTTTAGAAAATTCACCCCAGGGCTGGTTCCATGTGTCTGCCTTTTCCGACATGTTATACCCCTCCATAGTCCTTGATGACACTCACCACTCCTCCCTGCTCTCCAGTCCCAGGGTTCTGCACCATCTCACAAAACTCAACAGTTGTCAACAGAAATGGCTCACATGATTGTGGAGGCTGGCAGGTCCCAGATCCGCAGTTCAGAGAGCAATCTAGAAGAATCTTCTCACCCACATAGTCTCAGGAGCTGAGGAACCCAAATCAGCAGGTCAGATGAGAGAGGCTGCCCGAGCTGGTGAATTGGGTCAGGTGATGGATGAGTGGAAATGTAGTGAGCCAGCTGTAAGATCCAGGGCAAGAGAACAGACTTGTCCAAAGCTGTCTGATATTGGGATCAGGCCACACCCCCAGGGAGTCCTGGTGTGGCACTGTGGGTTAGTGCACTGGCCTGCAAGGTTGGTGGTTCAAGCTCACCAGCTGCTCCTTGGAAACCATATACAGGGTCACTGAGTTAGAACCGACTCACCAGCACTTAACAACAACACCCCTTCTAGTAAGGTGGTGGCTGTGGCTGTGTGCCGTGGAGTTGGTTCTGACTCATAGTGACCCTATACAGGGTTTCCGAGGCTGTAAATTGTTATGGGAGCAGAACTTTTCTCCCGCGGAACAGCTGGTAGTTTCGAACTGCTGACCTCCCGGTTCGCAGCCCCATTTGTAACCACTATGCTACATCCTAATCCTTAGATCCACTGTCATCTTTACTCTTTAGCCCCATCTTAATCTTTACTCCTTAGTAATTCATTTCAAAGTGGGTCCATAGTCCCAGGCATATTTACAATCTGTCACAAAATAGAGAAATTTGCCTCGAAGAACCAAAGTCAGTAACTAGCGACACCACAAGCCCTTATCTGAGTTCTTGCCTTTCTTCCCCAGGACGCTGCCTGCCCTGGTGTGGCACCGGCAGGACTGGACCACTCTCCATTCTTATGTGCACCTCAGCGCTGATGAGCTGGAAGCCCTACAGATGTGCACAGGTAGCCATGGGGATGAGCGAGGAGGGTTGTAGGTGGGCTTCTAAGGGGAGTACTGATAAAGAATACGTTATTATTTTTTGGTATGGTGCTGTAAGATAAGCACTGGACTACAAGGTCAGTTTGAACTACAGGGTCAGTGGTTCAGACTCACCAGCTGCTCCTCAGAAACCATATACAGGGTTGCTAAAAGTTGAAACTGATTAGACGGCATTAACACCAACATTTCTTTGGTGAAGCCTATATAAGTCTTGTCAGAGGAGCCCTGGTGACGCAGTGGGTTAGGACTGCTAACCACAAGGTAGGTGGTTTAAAGCCGCCTCCGAGAGAGACCTTTGAGGCAGTCGGTTCCCATAAAGATTGACGGCCTCGGGAACCTGTCTAGGGTTGCTATGAGCCAGAATCAATTCGATGGCGGTGGTTTGGATATTTTGATTAGTACAGCTTGTCAAGTTCTCATTTTAAAAGCTTCTATATCAAGGATTTGCTTTAGGCTGGTTAGGTCTCACTTTGAGTCTTCCCATATTTTTTCTTAAATGAATAATTTGAATGATTCTTAAAATGGTATTATTGGGCTTATTTAATGATTACTAATATGAGGATTGTGGGATAACTAGATAATAGATTATCACTTTATTTATTTAACCATTTAACCTGCTACTGTCAAGTCAGTGTAGGACTGCCCCATAGGGTTTCCGGGACTAAATCTGTAGAGAGACAGATGGACACATCTCTCTTCCGCGGAGCAGATGGGGTTTCAAACTGCCAACCTTGTGGTTAGCATCTCAACACTTAACCCAGTAAGCCACCAGGGCTTCTAAGACTATGTTGTTGTTGGTAAATGCCATTGAGTTGGCTCTGATCCATAAGGAGTGGCTGGTGAGTTTGAACTGCTGACCTTGTGGTTCAAATCAACTTTGTAGTCCAGTGCTTATCCTACAGCATCATACCAGGAGACTTTCTATAGGCCCCTTAATTTTCTAGTCACAAAGGATTTGTTTTTTTAATTTAAGGTTATTATATATTTTATATTTATATGGTATTTAAAGGTCCCTTTATGGAGTCCTGGTGTGGTTTTGTAGGATAAGCACTGAACTGCTAACGCAAGCAAGGTTGGTGGTTCAGACCCACCAGCCACTCCTCAGAAACCTATGTAGGGTCGCCCTGAATCCGAACCAACTCAACGCCACTTAACAATAATGAGGCCCCTTCATAAAGGAATGATGATAAATGTGGGGCCTTTGTTGTTGCTTTTGAAACGATCAAATAGTCTTTACACACACAAGAGGAGGCACTGGACTGCTAGCCTAAAGGTCAGGGGTTCAAACCCACCAGCTACTCCCTGGAAGAACGATGAAGCAGTCTAATTCTGTAATGATTCAGGGTCACTGTGAGTGGGAACCAAGTCAATGGCACTTAACAAGAACAGCAACAGTTCCAGTGCTTGGCATCCGAACCCAGCCGCCACCCTGCCAGAGGAAGGCATTGCATCTGCCCCCATAAAGATGGAGAGCCTTGGCAACCCTACCAGGGCGGTTCTAAGGGTCACTATGAGTCAGGACCGACTCGCTAGCCATCAGCTTGTTTGCGGGTTTGCAGATGCTCAACTTGGCTGTGTTGTGCCAGCTTGCTTTCCCAGAGAATTCACCATTGACCGTCGCATTGGTTAGCAGTGTAGCGGTGACCTGCTGTGCCCTCAACAGCACTTGGTGGCATCAAATTTCAAAAGCTCTGCCAACCTGCTGGGTATTCAATGCCATCTCTCTTCATTTGCATTTCCCTGTGTTTCCTAATGAGGTTAAATCTTGGGCTAGTAACCAAAAGGTCAATGGTTCAACCACCAGCTACTCCCTGGGAGAAAGATGAAGCAGTCTTAATTCTGTAATGATTGACAGCCTTGGAAACCCTGTGGATGAGTTCTCTGTCCTATGGGGTCACTGTGAGTCAGAGTCCACTCGAAGGCAGTGGGTTCTTAGCACCCTTTATGTTTCCTCGTCTGCAAAGTGACAGCATCGTTAACTTTTTTTTTTTTTTTTGAGTTCTTATTGTGAGTTGAGTGATAATTTACATGGGAGAACATCAGTTTTACACTCATAGTTTCATTGCAACGAGTACAGTCTCCTCTGTGCATCATCATTCAACAGTATTTGCTTCTATTCCCTATGTTTTTTTGTTTTTTTTGCGGGGGGAGGGGGATGTACACCAAAACACTCAGGAATAGATAATAATTTAAACCACCAAAGGGCACATTCTGCAAGTCTGCCTCCTGGCCACCAGCTCTCAGTTCCTCTCTTTCCATGAATCTAGAGTCCTCATCTGCTCCCTCTCTCCACATCATCTCTGCCTCCATCTCCGGTGTCACTGCTTCTCTGGATAGGGTCCCACATTCCACTTGTGCTCTTCTCCGTTGACGGTCCTAGGGTCCTCTGTTCCTGGACTGTAAGATTAACTGCTCCCCACTTTTTGTCTTTAACTTATTTTTATACTTCATTTTTTTTTCCTTACTAGTAGACGTCTTTATATATTCAGGATATATAAATCCTTCTGAAATGTGGATTATGTATGCTCCAGAAATCTTCACGCTTGAGATTTTGTTTCAACCCCACCCCCAATTTCCTTAAGATGTATTGAATTCTTCATTATAACGTGTTGGAATTTATTGCACTTTTGTTTTAACTTTTTAAGAAACTTTCAAGGCTAGAAAGAAACTTGTCGGGGTCTGACCTCGACATAGTTGTCACGCGTGTTTGGTTCACGAGGAGGGGAGATCCAGCGGCGATAGGGATAGCGAAAGAATACACAGACAAACAGAAGAAGGGAGACAATGAGGCACCCCAAAGCCAGGGTGGATACATCACTGGTGGGCAGGCTTGGGACTACAGGCATCATGGCCTCTGCAGGCAGCGACTCACTGCCCTGCAATCTTTAATGCATGCCTTCCAACCCGTAATGCACCGCAATCTTTACTCCATGCCTTCCAACCAGTAATGCACACCTGGGGAGGCCCGGGCCGCTGTTTTATTTAGGGGAGGAGTTTCACACCAAGCTGGGAGGGACTAAAACAGGATACAGCTAACATCAGTAATTTTCCAGACATTCAGGTAACTTTACATTGTACTTCACTGGTTCGAATCCCAGGCCAGCAACTTGGATTCTCAGGCCCAATTAACATATCTATAGCCCCTGAGGTCAGTTGGGGGAAGGTGAGAGTTCTGCAGGAGACGCCCAGGTGAATGGGCTGCACCTGGAAAAGGGATTAGGGAGGATGGGTTCTTTGTCTATAGAACAAAGAACCGAGAAGTAGCTAAGATATTTTTAGTTAATCCTTTGGAGAAAGGTTTAACCTTGCAAACTTTAGTCTCGGCTTTAGGAAAATATCACATTTATCTGTGGATTTTCAAAGGCTCCAGTGTATTAATTTAATATATATACCTGAATATTAAGATGAAAGCAATTTTCCATTAACTGCCAGTGGCCTCATTTGTTACACTCAACCCTAGAGGGCCTCGAACCTCTGACTAGTCTTACACGGTCTGCAACAGAACCTCTGGTGTATTTTCTTGTGAAGTGTTTTCTTTCCCACTGAGTCCACCTGGAATGAATTCTATGTCGTGTGTGAGGTTAGGCTCTGACTTGCCATGTGGAGGGCCAATTCCCTGTCTGCTGTGTCCTCTGCTTTCCAGGGAGCAGCGGGTTCCATCTGCTCCTATATGGGGGCCTGGGTGCCTGGGTGCTCAGGAGTCTGGTTTGAAATGTCCTCATTTGGCAAAGTGAAAATTGAGCATGGATGAATTGGTTCTCAAACAGATTTTTTTTACAAACAACTGTATTGCTTTGTCAAATTCCAAAGTCTGGGACCACTGTCTTAATAGCAAATCCAGGGCAAAGAGTTCGATTCAGACATCTGCCAGTTGCTGAGTTGCTGATTCCTTGAGCCTGTGTCATCTCAGATTTGAAGCCATTTCCACCACGTTGTCCCTGAGCAGCCCAGCCATTTGGCTCTGACTTCTGCAGACAGAGACCTGCAGGGGAGCATTAGTTATCTCAAGCCTTTCGACTCCTGCCTCGTTTGCCATTCTTGACCCAAAGAGCAACAAGTGAGTGTAACCACCTTGCCTCAGCCTTGGCCCTAAGATCTAACTGGAACATTCCAAGTTGTGTGAATTTCTTTAGGCAGCTGACAGTAATGTAGTCTTAGTAAATGCCACAAGGCCCAGCTCATGGTTCTTGAATTAAAGCGGTGACAAACCACCACCAGACTCAATTCCTTTTAGACTTGTTCACAATCTGAATTCTTCCCACGCCACACTAAACTTGCTCTTCTCTGAACCCCAGGTTACATCGCGGGATTTGTAGACTTGGAGGTGAGCAATAGAACGGACCTGTACGATGTTTTTGTGAATCTGGCAGACAGCGAGGTCACCATCGCACCCCTTGCAAAAGGTTAGTACTGTCTCTTTGTCAGTTACGGTGTTGACGCAGATAGAAGCCACATCATTGTGGTGGCTTGGCTGCCTCTCCACAGCCTGCTCTGCTGAAGCCGGAGGGGTTTTTCTAGTGATGATTCTTCTAGAACCATTCAATGTAGCAGAATGTCCTGGGCGCTTATGCTGCACCTACGTTCATCGCTTCATCTTCTGTCTTCACTTTTCTCTGTAAACGGGTTTGCTGTATCATAAAACACCTCAAACCTCACAGCTTTGGTGGGTCAGGAATTCAGAAGTGGCTCAGCTGGATGGTTCTGGCTCAGGGTTTCCCATGACCTTCTCTTCTGGATGCTGTCACAGTTGCAGTCATCTGATGGTCTCACTGGAGCTGGAAGGCCCACTTCCCAGCAAATGCATATGGGTGTTGGCAGGGTGCCTCCGTTCCTGATCACATGGGCTTCTTAACTGTCCTCGTGACCTAGCGGTTGGCTTTACTGAGAGAAGCGGAGACATAGCCAGGAGTGCCTTCTGTGGCTTAGCTGTGAAAGTCACACCCTGTCACTTCAGTCCTAGTCTATTTGTGAAAAGTATCAAATCCAGAGCAGACCTGAGGGGAGAGGACAGGGGCCCCACTTCTGGAAGGGAGATGTGTCAGGATCTGCAGACGTTCACCACAACACAGGGTTCAACGGGACACCTGTGTGGAGTCTCTGCAGGAAGGCTCAGTATACCCAAGGGAGTGAAAGGTCTCTTGGGGCTAATAACCAAGAAAGGGCATTCTGGTAGCATAGTGTCATCTCTGGAAAAACTCATCTAAATGGTCCCAAGTTATAGTTACGTAAAGTGGGAAAGGCTGGGTTAAAATTGTCTTGAGCCCCAGCATTGCCACTGAGGAGTGGGTTTCAGATGGAACTTACTAATGCTGAAGTTTGTGTTGGCATTTGTCTTTCTCCTAAACATCGGGAGGCAGTAGGGGTGAAGTAAATACTTGCTAGGGATTTTGTTAGATTGGTTAGTTAGTTGGTTCATTTGATCTAGCAACTTCAAATGAATAGAACCAGAACTCATTTTCCTTTCACCAGTTGTAATACTACAAACATGATCATGTTCATAGTGCGAAGTTCAGCATGTACAGTCTGACATGCAGGGGATGGTGGCTCTTGTCAAGCTGTAGCCAGTGTGACAAGCTTGTCCCTGTTGGCACCATTCCAGTACACACAAGTTCCTGTTCACCAACTTGCTGCAGAAGGTAGCGATGTTGGTAGGATGTTCCCTTTGCTCACTGTGGCCTCCACAGGGCTGCCAGGAAGCATGTCTTTCACAATATCCCAACCAGAAAGATACGTTTAAATTCTTAACTGTCAAGAACTGCACAGGAAAGCGAGGCTCTTGCCTTCAAATGACAACTTATTCAAGGTCAGAAGTTTTCATCAGGTTTTGCCAAGAAAGAAAAGTAGAGATTCTCCTCAGGGACGTGAGGGGGCATTTGGGATGACTCTAACCACTTTTTATTTTGGACATGAAGCATACTAATCATGATGTTCCCTGCCTCCTAGCATGTCATTGGATTTGCTTCTAGTGATAAACTGAAAAAGCGTATTGTCCGATGCTTGTTGAAAACACCCTCGGTGTTCTCTCAGGTTTCAGATAGATGACACACTCTGTTATAAAGACGTCACAATAGTCACACAGATGTCCTTGATCTCACCAGAGGCCATGATGATGGGGAAACTGCACAAAGAAATTGGTCAGCTGATTGTTCAGTTTGCGGAAGACCCAGAGAAGTCAGACAGCCAAGTTATTAAGGTAACTCTTTAGAGGTACCTAGCATCCTGAAACGGCATCACTGGCCGGTGTGGCAGGAAGTCCCGGACCAGCTGTCCACATGAATACCTGAGGTGACGTGGGAAAGACCGGCAAGTGTGAGCACAGAGGAGGGTTTGAAAGAAGGCCGTGATGATGAGCAGAGGCCAGGCCACCATGGACGGGTCAGCTCTCAGACTCCAGGGATGGATGTCTATAGGGCACTTAGTGGTGAAGCCCAAGTGGTCCGGAATGCTCTGGGGCTCGCTGGTGTGTTTCCTTCTATTAAAATTCACCTGGGGGAATAAACTGCAAAGAGAAGGTTGTAGCTGAGCATGAGCAATGGTGGGGGTGGGGGTGTGCCATGGAGTCGGTTCCAACACACAGTGACCCTTTATAGGGTTTCCAAGGAGCAGCTGGTGAGCTTGAACTGCCAACTAGATAGATGGTTTTCATGGTTTCTGGAATGTCATACCCCTGCCAGACATAGCCAGCTGTTTGCACACTGCAGACCCTGCTCCCTGTGGGTTACACCTATAAAGCTGACCAGAGTAAACGGGGCCCAGTCAGCACCCTTACCTTCGCCCCTGGCCAGAATAGGAGGGCAAGTGGCTTTATTTCCTGTGCGAACTCCAGCTGGCTCAAAGAAGCTGCCTGGGGCCCGTGGTGGACAATACAGACTTGGTTTGTGTTGCGGTTAAGGGGAAAGTAGACCATGTGATTGATTGGTGATGTCTGTCATGGGCACAGGCGTGGTTAACAGTTGCGCAGGTGTCAGGGGTTATTCCTGCACAGACTGGAGGCCTGGAAAGCATGATTCTTACTCGCCTCATGGAGGGAGCTCTTCTTCAGTTCCTTGGGGTGGACACTGTTGTCAGTGTGGAGGCAGTGGGAAGGACCCAGGATCTGAAGACACACAGACCTTGCCGGCTGACCACTGTATGGGCACAGGCAGGAAAGCTTTGTGAAGCTAGGTTTTCTTGTCTGGAAAAAGAGGCATGTTGTGAGAATGAAGGACAAGGTACCGGAACACGTACAGCAGCTGGCACCTTGTGGGACCTGACAAATGGTGAACTCCTTTCCCATAATTCCTCCTATTCCCTTGGCCTGTCATCTTTTTGCTGTTTTTGAATCAGAGAAAGTAGATGAGGAAAGAGTCCATGGAACTTTGGCCTTGGTGTTTTTTGCCTTGATTAGTCCCATTGGATGTGGATTGGGGGGGGTTGGTGGGGGGATAGAACTTGGAGTAGTACCAGTGGGCTGGGAAGATGGACTTGAGTGTGGAACTTTGGGAGCTGGAGGAGGTGGAGTGTGCGTTAGATAAAGATTTGAAAGGCACTCTCTCATTTCAGTAAAAACCACCTAAGCCTCTGAGAAGATGAACAGTGTGTCCAAGGCTCGTGTGGTGTGAGCGTTAAGACACGGAAGCACTATGCGCCCTCTCCTTCCTGTTTTTCCGGTCAGAGTTGGGTGGCTTAGAGGGAATTGGAGGCAGCAAGTCTTCCATTCACAGGCCTGAGTCCAGCATACCTCCCACGTGTTTTCTGTTGTGCAGTGAGGGCTTGAAAGCAGGATTGGGCTGCTTCACCTTCACCCCGCTGGGCTCTGCCATCCAAATCTGATGGAAGAGAGACACAAGCCTCATTTGTTTTTTTTTGTTCCCTTCAGACTATTGTAGAGCTAACACGGTACATATTTTCTTGTTTTATTAAAGGACATTTCCCTGAAAACCAGAGAGCTCTTGACCAACCTCGCATCATTTGCAGAAGTTTCAGACGATGGCAAAAAGCCAGCCCTCAGTTTTGAAGCACTGAAGCAGAAGCGGTTTCCACCGGCCACAGAAAACTTCCTCTACCACCTTGCAGCAGCCGAACACATGCTGAAAATCAGTGTGACAGAAAGTGTTGCTGATGGCGGCTCGAAAGCTTCCCCCTCTCTCTGATTAGCCATTCAATATGTCAGATACTGAAAATAATACAGAAAATGTTCTATTTTTAATGATTTCTTTGAAAGTATTGAAATTTGACCTGAAAAACACTGAACTACATATGGAAACACGTCTAATTTTCTCCTCCCTGGTTAGCTCTGTCTGCTGTCAGTGTTGGACTGTAGGTAACATTCCACAGTCCACATCGTGGAGCCAGAGACCAGCTCGGTCACGTCCTGCGCACGTCACAGCAGGCCCACACACTGCCACCATTCCAAGTCCCTGTCTGTCTCATTCTGTAGTCACAGCTAATGGTTTCTTTTCAGAAAGCTGCCTGAAATTTTGCTTTGTATTCTTCTAGGAAGAACTTCAATTCCTCATGAGGAACTCGACTTTCTGAGCCAGACGACTAAGTTTTCTGCAGAACCATCTAGAAGGTCATTCAGAAGATCCTGCAGTAGCACTTTCTTCTAAAAGAAAGAAGTTTTGGTTTTTTTTCCCCCTTGGCATTTGAACTTTTTTCCTATGAGGGTTTTGCACAGATTTTATACTTGAGTAAATGACTTTAATAATCCATATTTATACTGTCGCAGAGGTTAACATTTGGCCAGTGTAAGCCATTAACCCTCTACTAACCCTGTTGCTAGCAATATCCTTCTGAAAAAAATGCAATCTGTTGATGGGAACAGAAAATCGGAACTTGGTTTTGATTATAATGGTATGACTGAAACAGTGGCTTTATGTGGTTGGTAAGAGAGTAAGGGAATCCTGGTATAGCACTGGAGGATAAGCACTGACTACTAACTGTAAAGTTGGTGGTTCAAACCTACCAGCTGCTCCTTTGAAACTCTATACAGGGTCACTGTGAATCAACAGCACTTAACAAAAGTGAGAACACCTTCAGGGGCAAAACCAATGGTATCTTCAAACTTAAAAGTGATTTGGCTTCATGAAGGGATGTGTTCTTGTGTGTTCGTTAAGTGTTTTAAAGTCAGTTCAAATTCACAGACCCTGTATAGGGTTTCCCAGGAGTAGCTGGTAGGTTTGAACTGCTAATCTTGCAGTTAGCATAGTGTATGTAGCAAATACCTTTTTCATAATCAGAGACCTTAAAATGATCAAATAATCATGGAGGTCTAAATTATGTACTTGTTCTCTTCTAAGTGTTCATATTCATTATGAGACTGTTTTTCACTCCAGTAACACTGATGTCCTTAGAAATCTTGCCCAGAAAAATGTTGGCAAAAATAACTTGTCTGTAGCCGATCTTTCCTGTGTTGTTAACGTTGGCCATTTAGTAAGCAAAAATTGTAAAAAGGACCTTTTCCCCCTCCCTCCTTGGGTAGGAACAAGAAGAGATCTGAAACGAGACGATGTTTACTGAGGCAAGCAACTGAAAATTAAATCTGCACTTTATGAAAATGAATGCTAACATCTTTTTGGCCTCATTTTTTTTGGGGGGTGGGGGCATTACTGTTCTCTAATGATCAAAGTTGTTCCTTATAAATTGGTGATGAATAGAAGTATTTAGATACTTTACAGATGATTAGATAGGTGAAGACTACACCTTTCCTTGAATTCTGCCTACTTTGCATAACCACATACACCACCCCCACCTGGGGAATTCTTAGCAGAGCACTGGAGAGCTCAGCCTGCCCGGCTCCCTCCCCAGCCTGGCCATCTGCTGACCCCCCATCCATGCTCCAAGTTCTTTCCTCTGAAAAGATGACTTTTCTGAATGGTGACCCCCCCACCCCCCACACACACACACTCTTGTTCTTTACCTACGATTTTGTGTCATGTGACTCTGGCAGAAGAGCAAACCATCTGGTAGACCATCTTTACAGATTCTGCCCTTTTGTTATTGTTACGTGCTGTCGAGTCGACTCTTAGTGACCCTGTCTAGGATTCCCAAGGAGCAACTGCTGAGCTTGAACTACCGACCTTATGGTTCAACCGACTGCAGTCCAGCACATTAACCCACAGCGCCACACCAGGACTCCTTTGGGCAGTGCAAAACTCCTTTGATCAAACTATGGAATAACTGTCTGGCCCAGGGGAATAAAAACAAAGCCACAGACATGAATCTGATGATTCAGGAAGGGGTGTTAGAAAGTCTCCATTCCACAAGTGTTTGGTGGCAATTTTAAGCCATACACCGGTGGTATTCTGGGGCTACCCTGACAGACAAGACACGGTGCCTGTACCCAGAACCACAGTCCCCAGGAAGAGCTGGAGACAGACCACGACACACCAGTGTAGTTAGTGCTCAAGGTGACATGGGAAACCGAGTTGTGGAGGCACAGAGGAGGAGCACCTGTCCCAGGACTGAATCCTGGAATCCCATTGAAATAGGTGAGTGCAGGGCAGAGGGAACAGCTTGTGTGGAGACCTGGACCTTGTGAGCTGGCATGGAGGACAGGCACTCCACTGGAGACCAGCCACCAGGTGAGGTACTTCTGCAGCAGTACCAGCAGGGGGTGCTGTTAAACTGAGCAGTGGCCTTGGAGGGGATTCTTGGAGCCTCGTCTCTAGGGCTCCATCTACTGGATGGTGGTGGGGAGAGGACGTCCTTGAATGAGGTTTGGGAGGCTGAGTTTGAGGCAGTGGATGTGAGTCTGCTGAGCTCAGCCCGGTCTGGAAGGTGGGGAGGGGTCAGTGAGGGTGACTCTAGGAGTTAACATCTACGAGCCAGCAGAGGGAGACAGAAGCCTGAGTGTCAATAGCCTGGACAGCTACTTTTGACGGAAGAGGGACAGAAGCTCCTGGCTTGTGGCCGTGGATCTCATTGTGATAACAAAGAAGGGATTTGGAGCTGGGTGGAGGGAGACAAACTTTTAATTACTTTACCAGACAGGGATAAGCTCTGGAGGATGGAGGTAGGACCCTGACAAGGATGGGCATCGAATGGAAAGAGTTTTCAACAGGGCATGCACCCTTGTCCTGACCTCAAAGATGGTGCATGGCCTACAATGTCTGGGGAGATGCCCAGGGTGGGCCCACAGGATCCCTCCCAGCCTCCTACAGAAGGCACGGGGGTGCTACCACCACCACCATCACCACCCCAGCCCAGGGCCACCATTCAGCCACCTCCATGCTCACCTTGGCCCAACAGGTGCTTTTCAATATCCACAAGTTTACTAATAATTTTAGTTTCCTTTGACAGGCTGATGAGCAAACAGAAACTGGTCATTACACCACTGTTCCCCACAGAAACCCAGTGGGGATGTCTCCCAGAACATCCCCAACCCCCCAGGTCTCTTGCATCCAGGTTCAAAATCGCCACACCCTAGTGGTCCTGCAGCTGACTCAGCCTGGACACCAGGAAGCGAGCTGTCTGCAGACCTGGACATGGGGGAAGGTGTCTGAGCAGGAACCAGGCCGACTCACCCAACAGTCACCCCTACACCCCCCTGTAATAGAAGAGTTCCGTTTCTTCTGTTGAAGACTGGATTTCCTCTTCAAGCTTACTGCGCGGTATCTGAAAAACAAAGTTCCATCCTTAATATCTACAGTAACTTGCCCGGGAAGCCAAATTCAAAGTCATTGCCAAGTCCCACTATTTCATAGTCCATCCCTTAAAATGCTGCCCAATCTAGAGCACAAACCACCACAATGTATTTTTTATAGAAAGTTTCAAATAGAACCCAGTGTAGGCAGAGTAATGAACCCTCACGTACGTACTCTGCACCTTTGTTGTTGTTGTTGTTATCTGCACCTTTAACTATTAACAATTTGCCAAGGCTATTTCATCAAGCATTCTCCACACCCACCTGCCTTCCCCCGCCTCTAAGGAGTCGTGGTGCTGTAGGATAAGCACTAGACTGCTAACCACAACGTTGGTGGTTCAAACCCACCCGTCGCTCCTTGGAAACCATATACAGGGTCGCTACAATCTGAATTGACTCAGCAGTACTTAACAGCAACAACAAGGAATACTGGTGTAGTTCTGTAGAATAATCACTGGACTGCTAACTACAAGGATGACAGTTCAAACCCTCCAGCTGCTCTTTGGAAACCCTCTACAGGGTTGCTTCGTGTCAGAGCCAACTTGACAACACCTACCACCACCATGACAGTACTTCAAGAGAGCCCTGGTGGTGCAGTGGTTAAAACATCTTGCTGCTAACCAAAAGGCCATCAGTTCAAACCCACCAGCCGCTCCACAGATGAAAGATGTGGCCGTTTGTTTCCATGAAGATTGTGGCCTTGGAGCTCCTATGAGGTTGTTCTACTTTGTATTACAGGGTCGCTACAAGTCCGAATCAGCTCGAGAGCAGTGAGTTTGGTAGGGAATTGCAAGATGATCCACAAAGGTGCCATTTCACCTACAAATACCTCAGTATGAAATTGTTGCTAATTGCTGTCATAGCGTCTCTGTATAGGGTTTCTGAGGAGTGGCTGGTGAGTTTGAACCACTGACCGTGGTTCAAACCGCCCTTAAGGTCGAGTGTTTATCCTACAGTGCCATACCAGGATTCCTTCATATGGATTTATATGAAATTATAAAGGATAAAATAACTATTTTGACTTTAATCATCTCTTTCACCAACATTAAGGAGAAGCCGTGTGGTCACATAACGCAATCACATCCAGACTCCCCAGTGTCACTAAGGCAGGTGGCTTACTAGTCTAACAAGGTTACAATTAGCCAGCTGACACTTCCAGAGAAGGGCATAGACTGGAATGCAGCGTGGATGGGAAAGAGTTGTCGTGCGTAGCCCACAGTGTCAGCGGGATCCTGCCCAGCCATAGGCTCTGCAAGTAGGTAGACCAGTCACCACAGGTGGGACAGGGAAGTGCCCCTTCTCCCCCAACAAGAGCATCAATCAGTTAACTCCATTCCCACCTTAACCCAACAGGGCATTCTCATGGTCCCCTGAATGCTAAGATGGCTGGGGTTCAGTGGGGACACGGACCTCACTTCCTGCCTCCATTCCAGCCTTTGAGAATTCTGCCCCCTCTAAGCTGCCCGCAGAGGAGTGCAAGACGGGTGGGTGTGGGTGTGGGGACTTACCTGCCCAACCAGTGGGAACATGCTAAAGGAGACGGGCACCATCAGCCCCATGGCCAGGATGCTGCAGGACAGCTTCACGGTCCACAAGGACCACGGGTGCTGCAGGAAAAACTGAGTCCTGAAAGAGAGAGGTGGGGTTACTGCTGATCCTCACCAGACCCCGTATTCAGCTGCGTTTCAGGATCCTCAGCCCCATGACTTGCCTCCCCCCTCCACACACACCCCACACCCCACACCAGCTGACTCGTAGTGACGTTTCAGGACAGAGTGGAGCTGCCCCACAGGGTTTCCAAGGTGGTCATATTTATGGACGGAGACTGCCACATTGTTCACCTGTGGAATGGCGGCTGAGCTTGGTTTTAGGTAAGCAGCCAAGTACTTAACCTCTGCTCCACCAGGGCACCTCCCTTGGCTCCCACCAACCCGCAAAAGGGCCATGAAAACAGCCGCGAGCTTCCCAGGCAGTGTCTTGTTAGAGCCACAGCCCTGAGGCTTGTGCTGGCTTCCCTTCTTTGTTATTAGTGTTGACAAATCAGTCCAACTCACAGTGACCCCATACACAACACAACATAACACAACGCAACGCATCCCAGTCCTCGGCTCTCCCATGATGGCTTTGGATTGGACCACTGTGAGCCACAGGGTTTTCACTGTCTGTCTTAGTCTGGAGGCTCCGCTGAAAGTTGTTCAGCATCAGAGGAACATGTAAACCTGGACTGACAGACAGGTGCTAGCTGCTCAGGAGGTACCTTCACTGGGAAGTGAAACTGGGAATCCTGCGTGGAAGGCGAGAATTTTACCACCAACGCCCAACTGCCTCATCCCAGCTTCTTACAAACAAGGGCAGAGGCAATGACCTGTTACATAATTTACCCCAAATCTCACAGCTCAGACGTGCTAGGCCTGAGATCGTAGAGCCTGTGACCTCGGCCTGAACACCCTGGCCCTTTGGGGTGTCAGAGATAGTGTGTTGATACGAGAAGAACCCCAGAGACCCAAGGTCTCCAATGGACTGTGTGTCCTCATACAAGTTACTTTCCTTCCTGAGCTTTGGTTTGGTTCGGCTGTAAAACATGGGGTTGAGATAGATCCACCCAAAGCCACTCCAAGGCACACAGTCCTTCTAGCACCCCAAAGCCAGAGAAAACAGGATCACTGCTCCCCACGAAGCAGCCTGTGCCATTCACACAGGCACCAGGGGGTGGGGGAGTGGACCAGAGGACCCCAGCTTCCACAGGAACTCCAAGGTCAGTGGGAGTGGTCACACACCCTGACCTAGAACAGAGCTGCACCCACCCATCTGAGCCAACCAGAACCCAGGACACCGCTCTGGATGTTCTTTCAGTCCCAGCCTCACCACCTGGGTGAGAATGAATTAGCCCACCATGGGCATGTGACTTGACATGGGCCAATCAGAATCTTTCCCTGGGAATTTCTGAGTTGCGTAGAAGCCGTTGCCCCAGGGTGTGTTGAGTTGTCCACCTCTGATAGGGAAGCTGTGAGGGTATCATGAGCTGAGAGCTGTCAGAGCCTCTTCCCTCATCAATGTGGAGAAGCCCAAATGCAGCGAGACAGAAAGAAGCCACCACCCGGGAAAGAGAGAAAGAGAAGAATGTCTTCACACCAAAGTTCCTGTTCAAATGGCCACAGGCTACCTCCCTTCACACACCTGTCACCTACACCGACACATGTCCCTGCTGGCCAGCTACTTCAGGTCGGGCTTCTGATACCTGCAACCTCCAGAACCCTGATGGACCTCCAGGCCCACCTCCTAACAGGCCTTTCTTGCTTCTCAAAAGGGGTAACAGGCTTCTGAATCTGGGACCACTTATGCTAATTTGTCTTCAAGGTACACCTTGATGGTGTTTATTCACAGAGCACTTATGCTGATGAAGACATGGTGAGAAGGTGGGGAGGGGCACATCAGACCTGGAAGAAACTTCCAGACCACTGTTCTAGAAGTGAGGACATGAGCCCACATGGCCCAGGTCAGAAATACGGAGTCTGCATTTTCATGCCACACCAAATATAGCGGTTCCTGTCCTGTGGTGAAGGCCTGGTAGGGAGACAGCGGAAGCAACATCTTCCTGCCCCTCTGCCAGCTTCAGTATCTAACACGTTTGACGAGGATTTCAGCTTCCGAATGTTGACTCCTCCCCACGGTGATCAGTGGAATGCTTACCGTCTGAAACAGTATGCTAAGACTTCAGAGACACCAGCGGAGGTCCCAAATAGCACCACTCTGGAAACTGCTGTTTCTTGAACAGCCTGGAGAAACACAGAGACAACAGCTCAGCATACAGAAAGGATTTCTAGGGACCCAGAAAGCCATGTCTTCCTCCTCAGAAAGAGAGCACATGGCAGGAGGGGTGGGCAACGCTTGATGTGCACCCATGGAGGACAGCGGAGGCAAGTGACAGGGACAATTGGGCAGGGGTCCCCATGACAGTAATCTCCATCAGTCCGCACAAACCACCTCAATTAAAATCTCCAAGTCCAAGCAAAGCCCAAGAAGCTTGAGGACAAATCTTCATTTGGAACAAGAGTGGGAAACTTTTTCTGCAAAAATTTATGCTGTAACTCATGGGCTATACAATTACTA